CAGGAAAACTCCAACATGTGCAAGAAGGTGTTCGGCTCAAAGTCTGACTCTGCTGGCGGCTGGTTTTAAAGCAGCACCTGAGCTCCTGCTTTCCTGAGTCCCTCGACGACTTAGGCCTGCACACACCTTACCAACGTGGAGCTTGACCTTGCACTGCTGCACTTAATGGGAAATTGGCCATTGATTTCAACGGGCCAGGATCAAGCTCTCAGTGCGTGCACAGTGTTTACATATCAACACATATTTAAAACTTTTGTAAAGAAAAAGCCCTAAGGCAAATAAAGACCAATTTGGCAGCATTCCATGCACTCCCGTAAGGGTGGTGCTTGTTCTTCATTTTTACATTCTTGTGCCAAAAGAAAAAGTAATCCTTCATTTTTTTTCTTGGAGAATACAGAAGTCTGTGTTTTTGATGTGTGGGAAGAACAATTATGATGTATAAAGAATGATTATTTATAAATGTATTTTAAAGTATTTAGGTGTTTTAGGCCTATGACCTAACCCCATTCAAATATTCAAGTACAATTAACATCCAGATAGGACCATGAATTCCTGCTTACTCAGTATTGCCTGTTTACAAAAAAGGTTTTATTTTACATGATTTTAAAGCATTTTGTGGTTTGGTTTTTTTTGAAGCAGGCAGAACTTGATTATTATTATTTATCTTTTAGAGTTTTTTTTATTAACTGCTGTAGTTAAATACAATTGATTAACAGTGTGGGGTTATGTTTCCAGAAGGAACTTACAGTTGCCTTAATTCTGTTCCCATTGAAATCAATGGTGTAATTTCTGTAGCTACCAGAAGCAGGAGCAGAGTTAAGCCAATACTGGCAGCTCATCAAGGTTGCCTCCTAAAAATTTGTCTCCCTGTGTGTAATCAAGGCAGGGGCATTTCAAAAAATGAGCATGCACTAAGGCAATTCTGAACTATGAAGAAGGAAAGGATCTCAAAAGAAACAGATTTTAGATGCACAGTCTGGCAAAGCTTGTGCTGAGCCAGAACATTTTCTTCTAGGTAAGTTAGGCTTGTATTTCAATGCAAATAACAATCACTACTCAGACAAGTCCTCTGATTAAAATTACTTAGACACTTCAAGCAGTGTCTTCATAGGATCTGTGGGGGAAAAAAAAAGTTTTATTTTTACATCAGCATTACAGATTAAAAAAGAATATACTCCATCCCAGCTCAGCTGATCTCTGATCCATCTGATTTAATTTTTATAGGACAAGTTGGGAAAATGCTGTTCACAAAAAAAAAGTAAAATAAAAAGCCAAGAAGAATTGTTTATTTTTAAAAAACCCAAACCCAAAAGCAGGCAGGAAAAACTCATAAATTGTCATGAAAAAAAATTATTACAAGATTAAGAAAAAAAATCCAAACTCTTTTGTGTTGTAAAATACCAAGAGTGCAGAAATCTGCAAAAATCAAACTGTCAGTGGGATGAAATGGTCTGCTTGTTGTCATTCCTGAAAATGCTGGCACATTTCTAGTCAAAGCCTAAATAAAACAGGTTAAAAATACAGTGTGAAGAAATTGTTTCCAGTCTTATTGTCTGTTATTTCTGGGTAGGGAAAGCCTCTCATTGGGGAAGGAATTGACTGGGGTGAGAGAAACCATTTTACTCACCTTCACAATATGAAGCAATAACTTGAATTGGCACTCACACCCCGGGCTCCCTCTCTAATCAGGAGACCTCCTGATAGATGAGGATGCACCACGGGCTGGAGGTGCCTGCCCCAGCCCTCTGCCCAGAGGAAAGACCCAGGCACTCCTCCTGTGTCAGAACTGCCCTCAGCATCCACTCACAGTCTGCTCCCTGCTGCAGACACTCTGATACCTCCACTGCTCCTTCAGGAACAAGCTGAAGACAAGCTTTTGCATTTGTTATTAATACTTGCTCTTTGTGTCACACAAAACAAAAATAAAAGTAGAGCTACTTACTCACATTCTTACTCCTGAGGTGACCTGACATCCTAAACATAGGAGGTGGACAATGAAATAGCTGCCACCACTCTTTTACTTAGAAAGAGTAGAGACATCAACAGATGACACCTCAGCCCCACTCTGCCAGGCTTGCCTATCAACTTACAACCCAAAATCAGAATAAAAAGGTTCTAGATCATGCAATTTATATCTGTAAGATCTTTGTGTGATACCAGCAACCCTTACACCTTACCAGCAAGGCTTACCCTTCTCAATTGTGTCAAACTGAAGAACCAGCCTGTAAGGACAATCGTGGACCTCCCACTGCTTTGACACTTAAACAGAGCCCCTGAGACCCACACTGCTCCTTCAGGAGGGACACATGCCTTCATGGATACCCCCTGGCATGGCAGCAGATGCTTCTGAAGGCATCTGACCCCAACAGCTGGACATAATGGGGATTCCAGGAGAGGTTTAGTCCAGCAGCTGGGTAATGGAAGGCCATGGCTTCCTTACTTGGGCTCCATAGCTACGGAAACAACAAAAGTAACAAACTTCTAAAAATAAGGTGAAATGAATACATTGCTCGAGCCTGCATTTGAAGGGAAAACACATTTAGGGTTACAAACAAAGCTCTGTTTATCCAATCAGTGGGGGTTTATCAAGATGTAAAATACCTATTTAATAATGGTATTACATCTACTTTTAAGTAACCAGCAGTGGTAGCAATTAAACAATAATTAATATGTGAAGTTCAGAGAAGCAAATAAATGCTTGGTCTTTTCTAATTGGAAGCCACAGAAGGAACAGTGCAATGATAATCCAGCTAAGTCCAGAAATCAAGCCACTTGCAATAAAGACTTGGAAACTTTCCCCTACAGGTTTCCAGGAGTGCTAATTTTTAAAGTGTTTTTCATCTACTCTTAAAAAATATTCATATATATATATATATATATATATATATATAGGGATACAGTTTGGCTTTGGCAGGCAGATTCCATGTTCTCAATAGCAACAAGCCTAGGGGTCAGCAATTCTAATATAGGTGGCTTTTTTTGGTTGTTTTTTTTTTTAAAGTTTTTTTTTTTAGTATTATGTTCTATGTTTGGAAAACTTGTTTAGATCTGACATCAGGGAATTATCTGCTTCTCATTTGACTTTGTTCCTACTCCTTTTCACAACAGAGTTGCAGTTTTACCATCATTCCTACCAGTGATATTTTAATGGCTATGTAGAAACTTACGAGATTTTCTCCAACAATCCTTGAAAACCCCAGACATATTCTACCTTTCAGTTTATTTAAGGTATCATAAAAAATCCTCATACTTTAATTTCAGTGGATTTGTGTGGTGTGAGGCACTTTGTGGCTGGACAAACACTGGTTGCATTACTAGGTTTCTTAAGGAATGGTTCAAGTTCATGTGTCTCAGTTTATTTACTTTTCACCTCTCTTTTGTGGAGGTTTCAGCTTCAATTTTCCATCTGTTGTGAGAAACCAGCAGTGCTGTGAAAATCTTATAACAGAGCTCCACTGAAATCAGTCTCCAGGAGTGTCTCCTTCAAGAAAAGCAGAGTTCCCAAATTTTCCAGTTCACAACCCCAGGTCGCTTTGCAATTTCAGACCTCTCTGATTTTAATAAAGTGATCCAAGGTCTTTCTCTCTGCTCTACACTTGCTATTATTTTGTGTTTGTTTTGGTCATCCTTTATCTCCTGGCAACTCAACTTGCTTCAGTTTTCCTTTAAGCAAAAGTGTTATTTTAAACTGCAAAAGCAATACTTTAGTTTTCAAGCCTGTTTGGGGATTTTTTGGTGTTTGGCTCATGCTTTTTTAAACACTTGGACTTAACAATGGAAACCTTTTCAATCTCCATGAAGATAGAAGGAACACACTAAAGCAGCAAAAGATTTTTCCTAATAATAGTTCAAACAATAATGCTATCCACTAATAAACTCATCTTATCTTTGCTTGTCTTGCAGTATTAGGCAGTGAAGATAATATAGAGAGTGAGCATAAAAAAGTTATTCACCCCACGAACTGCTCTCTCTGTAAACATTACAACAGACAAAGTTGCAGTTCTTTGGATAACCAAACCCATTCACCAGTCAAAGTTAGTTCAAAAAAACTGGGGAGTTCTTTCTTAAATTATACTTGGGTAAAAAAAATTAGCAATGCCAACTTCCCTTTGTTGTAAGAGGAAAGAATAAAGAGAGATCAGGTCAGAAAGAGACTATCAATACAGGGACAAACTCAGGGAGACTCTGAGTGCAGGGTTTTTGATGTGCTCTCTGCTGTAATCCTTTCTTCTGTTGCTGTTTACATGTTAAACCAAGCAGTGCCTCTGTTTTCACTTGTTCTGCACAACAGCCAAGGTAACTTTGCAAATATACAACCAAGCAGGACTGCAGGCTTACTTGCAGTGTGTCTTTTACTGAAAAATACATTTTATTTATCATAACATTCAAGAGAAAAAACAAAAACAAAAACAAACCCCAACATAATACAAATGCCAACTCATTCAGGTACAGACTTTGGTACTTGGCAGTTCCAGACGCTCTGTTCTCACGTGGCTGTGACGCTCCAAAGTGTTCCCACTGCAATTCCCAGAGCGACGCCGCCGTCCTTCAACCCCAGGCCCACGGCACCCTGCAGTGGGATCACTCTGGGTTTCAGCTTGCCACAGTGTTGTCTCCATTGAGAGCAGCTCAAAGAGTCCATTTCTCTCCAGTTAGACATCTTCTGTTTCTCAATTCTTCCTCCACAGGCAACAGTCATCAACACGATGCGTTCACGGCGTTTTCCCCTTTGCCTTACAGCCCACCCCTCTCTCATCAGACATACCACCCACATCCTCTTAACAATCATTATCCTTACTTCACATTTGCACTTTTAAATAGCTTTACACCAAAAACTAACCCACCCCTTTAAAAATGAGAGGAAAAAGAAAGGGATGGGGAGGGAAAAAAAAGAAGAAATACAAAAAAAAAAAAAAAAGAAATAGGGGAAAAAAAGCAAAAGCATTTTTGAAGTATCGATTGTAACTTATCCATTGTTTAAAAAAAAAAAGGGGGGGGGGGGAAAAAAAAAAAAAAAAAAAAAAAAAAAAAAAAAAGAAATAGGTGAAAAAAAGCACAAGCATTTTTGAAGTATGTGTTCTCAGGTAGCCACAAGTTAATGGCAATATATAAGCATAAGGAATGACACTTTGGCCATCAACACTAAAGAATAAAGGTAGCATTGAATACAGACAAGGGGGAAATACACCCCACACAACCCATAAATACATTTCAAATCATTCACCAGTTGATTCACCAAGGGCTAAATTTGATACTGAGTGAAACCAACCCTGTTGCAAAAGACCAGAACAACATTCTGGTGCATCACTCCAGTCCCCCTCAAACTTTTAATTGGATCCTGACCTAAAATGCATGGACAGTAGGCTGGTGCAGCCCTCAAAAGGAGTGGGAGGGAACTTGAGTGATGCACAGGATTTGCCCTGCTTTGCACATGGGGTGAATTTCAGCTGTAACATACTATGACTGCACTGTGAAACATATAATACTAGCAGCTTGTGAGCCCTGACATGGAGGGCTTGACTCTAATCCAAGATATGTGGTTACACATCACCCCATGCACTGGAGAAATTCACCACTGGGCATACATGGAGGAGCACCATATTACCAGAGCTTTTTTCTGGTGACCTTTTGTGGCATTTTCTGCTGGGTCCGGCTTGACTCAAGCCCAGAGATCGGGTTCTGCAAAGTGAAGAACCTGGTGCTCAGGTCTGCAAGGCATTCAGCACTCTGGGATGAGTTCAGCAAAGCTTTGCATAGATGGGTGAAGGAAAAAAATCCTTCCACTGAAGTCCCCAGGAATCTGCTTAAGTGTCTGAAGTTGGAGATGCATGTGAAGGCTTTGCTGGGTTAGCGAAGCAAAGCACCTTGCAAAACTGACCCCTTGATGCAAACAAGAAGTCCTTTTAGTAATAGACAAAATCAAGTAAACACTGTTTGACATTAGGATTGACACATTCCACTGAAGTAAACTCCCCTGAGAAAGTAAATACCTGTTGGTATTCCCTCATTTCATTGCTTTCATCTCCACAGGCAGTGAAAAAAAACCCTGCAAAATTTACCTCCAACAAATACATGTTCAAATCCTGGGCAGTTGTTTTTTATGCTTTTTTTTGTTTTCCTTTCAAGTACACCGGGTGAAACTGTAAACCTGAGGCTGTGTGTGCAAACCTATATCTTGTAAACTGCAACGGGAAACTCCGCTCCGAGCACCGGTATAGGAAAAGGTAGGACAGGAACACTGTGGAACAGGGATGCTAGTATTATACTGAACGTGTATGTCACAGGGAGCCATCCACTCTGGTACCTGCACTGTCCTGCAGTCCCAAGTACTGTTCTGTCTAGAGCTGATACTCTAATCACAACACCTATCAGTCAGGAGAAAGGTGGAGAAGCATTCATCTCCTTTAAGAGGCAGTCAGCCCCGTCCCAGAGGGCAGGTAAAGCTCTAATGCAGCTGGAGAGCACAGGGACGAGCCTTACACCATCTGTGCTCTAGCTGGGCACACCAAGCTCTTCAGAAAGGGCTGGAATAGTCACTGGGTTTCCACAAGGATGAAAATGAGTGAGAAGGTACATGAGAAATCACTTGCTAGCTGCACACTTGTAGTGCATTTCATCCTGAGGGCAATTACAATTTGTGCCTGTAAACAAATAAATTGCGTTGAAATACAATCTCACACACGTGGTTAAAGACAGTTCTACCTGAGTTTTCTGTGAGTTACTACCTCGTGAGTTACTCAGGAAAATGAAAACCCAGGGCTTATTTTAAAAATGGGAAACTTTCCTAGCTGTAGGAAGCCTTGAGAACAGGTGGAGAAAAATCCTGCCTGTGGGCAAATGCTTAAATAAAGACTTTTGGGGTTTGTATTTAGACTTCAAAATTCTAATCTGTTACCTCAAGAAAGCTTTATGTTATATAATTTAGGTTTGGTCTCACATTTATTTGCTTCCCAAAACCAAAATTTTGGGCAGGGAACAGATTATTGACTTTTAGTTTTACTGTCATAGTAACAATTCTCTTTTGTTGAGACAAACTAGTTGCTGGTAACAAAAGAATCAGTTTGAGCAGAGTTCGATATATAAATCACTGCACTGTCAGTAATCTTATTGTCCATTTTTTTGTTCAAAAGGTATGTATTTTCTTAGCAAATTGTAATTTTAGCCCTCAGATAAACCTGTCAAACAGCTAAAGAAAAAACTGCGTAGTACTGAGGCTGTAACATTTAAAGGGCAGTGACTAGGATTATGTTTTCAACAATGTTGCAATTTAAGGAAGAACAGACTGCAGTCTTAAAGGAAAATAAATGCCTTTCTCTCCTTTAGAAGCAGGATTTTAAAATATTACATTCAATTTCTGGTTTCCCAGTATTTAAACGCTGTCCTAATTAAGGCAACTTGTGATACTCAACACAGTACAGAGGAGCAAACAAAAAATAAAAGCACTCAAATGTGTTTTCTGACATTTACACAGTCTGTTTTGAACCATGGCAAAAAATAAACACTAAGGATAAATTTAACACTACAGCTCTCTTCCTTTGCAATCCCAAGTGAGAAGTAGAGAGTACAAAAAAACCATCTGATTGCAAATTGTGACTAAAGCCTGTATGGAAGACCCTCATTTACTGCAAGAGGAGAGAGCTGAGGGCTTTATTTAGTTTTTGGAGAGCTGCAGGGCTGCACTGGATCATCACAACACATTCCAGGGACCTGAATGAAGCTGTGTGGTGATCCACACTGAAACACTGCTGCATTCACACCCTGCATTTTACAAACAGCTGTAGTGGCATCACTACCATTAGCTACCAGCACAGAGGCAATGCTAAAGCCTGCAGATCGGCTTCAGTACAAAAAGAACTTTGCACAAAATAATGCAGTAATTTAGTGCTGCTCACATAATTAAATGTAGGCATACTCCAAAACAGGGGGGCATTAGGAGAAAACAAGAAACTTACATGCTTGTTTTGTATGATGAAGCAAAAAAATTGAGAAAACTGTAGAAGCAGTTTTTAGGATTAATGTTGAAGAGTTACCAAGTGTATTTCAAATTAAAGAAGCACAATTCTTCTTCCTTATCCCTGTGGAAAAACAAAGAAAACCGAAAAGCGTCATTAATATAGATTGCTAGAGCACTGCCACAACAATCTGAACAATCTTTACTCCTCCAGAGAAGTGCATAAATACCTGCTTTGTCATCACACTGTTCCTGCTCCTCATTTCCTAAGCTATGCCAGCTATCAGCCAAGGGCACCCAGGTGTTCAAACGGAGTCAGCTGCTGGGCAGCCCTGGTGTTTTGAGCAGAACCCATCCTTGCTGCTCAAGGTGTGGAACGTGCTGTGCCTCCCAACCCCACAGCTCCCAGCAGACAGGTCCTGGGGAGCTCAGGGACACAGGTGGAGAGAGGCCGAGGTGACCTGCGCGGGATCTCAGCGATCCATCCGCGCAGTTCAAGACCTGGGCGCTCTCCTCACCAGCATCCAGCATGGAACACACCAGGAAAAGGGAAACAACCCACACCCATGTGCTCTAAGATTTGTGCAGTTAATTCTTAAATACTGGCTCAGGAAATCACCCTGGGCAGGAGGAGTCATTAAGGCCACCACGAACTTTTATTGGTACCAAGGCTCAGCGCTACTGAAATGTTTCCTAAGTAGCCACAGCTTTGAGCACAAGGGCACACCTATATCCGTTTGTAGACTGATTTACTAGATCAAATGTTAGACCCTGTTTGGTTCTTGGAATATTCCAGTATTTCCCACTAAAACTGGATAAATTCTTTACTAAATTCTCATCAGAGGCATCAGCATAAGTAAATCCTATGTACTGCACATTGCACTGTAAGTTGACTTCTTGACTTAGTAATGTGGAACATACATCCTGATGAACAGGGAACAATTAAAACAAAGTGTAAAAATACCAATTTATGAGGCTTTAAAATAATTTTTATATACTATCCAGACAAAATTAATTTTCAAAGGAAAGCATAGATTATGTGATAGCAGTTAAGAAGAAAACACAACTGATACGTATATTTGCTTATGTATTCCTGTACCTGTGAGGTGTTTATGCTCATGGTTTAAACAGAAGAATAAAAAATACCCTTCTAATATTGGCAGTACAATTTACTACAGTTGCTTTCTACTTTGCTACCTGTTCTTTTCTCATTTATTTACCTAACATGAGGCAGCAGCTCCAGAGAGTAAAATATGGGAATAGATACAAAAATTTTCACACATTTTCATTCACTTCTACTGGGAATGAGCTCCTGTCAGGCAGTTCACTCTCTACAGGCTCGTTCTGTCTGGGTTTGGATGCAAGTTTATTTGAACTGAAAATTAGCATCAAGGAAGAAGTGCAGCAGGCAAGGATGATGTTGCTAAAGCTCCCCATTTACTGTGAGTGAAGAAGAGGAGGGAGAGAAGCAGCCATAAGATATTGCTCAGAAATATGCACATATTTTCCACTATTTTCTGCATATGAAAAAACTTAACCATAGTTCAGATGGCAGCTTGGATTTTGTCAGAACACCAACTGATGGGATGCATTTTATCCCAATGATTATGCAGAAAAGAGCACCAGATACAAAGGGAAGTGCTGGAAGAGCAGCAGAAGTGCAGGGGATTTGGTGTCAATCCACCACAGGCATCACACCATTAGCAGAACTTCAAGTGACACTGACCCCCCCCAGGTGACAGAGACCGAGATGGAGCAGTCCTTAACACAGTGATACAGTCTGTGAATGAAGATGTGAAAGAAATTGAGCAAAGAAAGGAAGAAGAGAATAAGTGCAGTGCAGAAAGGAATTCAGGAGTGGAAAAAGGAGCATCCCTTCAGCTCATTTTGCCTAGTTAAAAAAGGGACCTGAAAGGACAGTACCTTATCCAACTCTCACACTCAAAGGATGAAATCTGGCTGCTTTAAAATCAATTTTAGCATCTGCACAGCATTGCTGCAATCAAAAAACCCTGGTCTGGTGTGAAAACGACTACCTGGAATTTAAAAACTTAACAACAGTTCACCCTTAGATTCACATGAAATTATACTGTTGTTCTTGTCAGGGGAAAAACACCATGCTGAGCAAACAAATGTTTTTCATCAGGAATAGAATGTCAAAAGAGAGAGGAAAATAATGGAAAAGAAAAGATAAACCAGATAATAAAAGAGAGATGAAGAGGAAAAATTATCCACAGGGACATGAAAGTCATGTAGGTGAATGAAAATAACAGGAAGAAGAAGGCTACAGATGTGATACCCCTCTGGCATATACCTCATTTTCCACAGAGAGATAAGATACAGGAATAAGCAAAGTTTAATGACAAGTTAAACACATCCTACAGCATGCAGCTAAAATTATTTATTTTAAGATTTTCAGAACAGGTCAAGGGAAAAAAGTGTATCCATTGTCCAGCAGCAGGACACATCCCTCAGCAGGTCTGGGACAGGCCAGAGGGGACACCCCTGTCTGTATGAGACAGCAGATGCCTTGGCATGATCCAAGATTGAAAGGATGGCAAAATGAAACTCAAGTCTGCACCCTGCTGAATGACCTTCTGCACTGAGCATGCACCACCAGTCTTTTGGGCAGTTCTGCAGTGGTAGAGCTCTGACACAGCACAACAAAGCAGGGCTGCTGTTTTAACTCCACCTGTGAGGAAGAGCACTTTGGTGAGAGCATCACCTGCCTCACCAGGCACTGAAGGCAAGCTAAGTACAGGATAACAGGACAATCCTTTGGGAACTGAAGGGCAGGGCACGCCAGGAAATATGATGTTTTCCACTTTTGAAGAGTGAAAAAGACACAAGAAAAGCTGGAGGTTTTTGTTTAGTTAGTGTTACAAATACATCTACTATATACCCCACCTTTTAAAAAACGTCAAATCTCATCTGAAATCTAACAAATCCCTTCTGCTAGCAGTTTAATTCAGCCCCCAGACCAAAGGGAAAACTACTTTCTGCCATTTCATCTAGGTTCTCTGACTTTACTGGCAAGATGAACTCAAGCAGCACAGCAGAGCTCAAGTTAAACTGGCATGCTGCCTGTCCTGAGTGACCCATAAGGGCCCATGAAAACAACTTCATCCACAGCCACAATAAAAGAATGGAACTTTCAAGATAAAATAATTACAAACAGAGAAGTAAGCATATAAATCACAATGATAAGGTTTCATTCCACAAATAATCTACTATATAGTAGGTGATGCAAACTAAAAAAAAAATTAAAGCAAAATCAATAACACAAGTGCTGGAAGACAAAATTTACCCTCAGGCATGCAACTGGGCAAAGCTCAGCACAAACTGGTGACAAACCCGAACTTCTGGCTGTTGCCACTTTTCCACTCTTTCTCTCTGCCTTTTCATATGCACCAAAAACCAACTCTGTGAATTCTTGGTAAACCACAGAAGATTTGGCAGTTCTGCCTAATAATAAATTCTGCCTGCACGTGATGAAGATGAGCCATGCATTCTAATGCAAGAGGCAGAAGCAGCAGTGACACCAGTCCCAAAGGCACTTCTGTAATATTTTAGGTCTTTTAACATGGTTCCTTGGTTATTTTGCACAGGCCATACCGCACCACACTGGTTTCAGTGCTTGCTGTCCCTGTGGTCCCGTGCTCTCCTCCTTGCGCCAGGACAGGAACTCAATGTCCCTGCAGGCACACCCCTGAGTTCGGAGGCTGGCCCTGGGGTGCAGCCCCAGGACACTGTCAGGACTGTGGCACTACAAGCTCAGAGCTGCTGCGGGCACCTCTGCCAGCAGCCCCATGGCTCCAGGAGAGCACACCTGGGATGCCTCCATGCATCCTGCTCCCTCACCCCACTAACAAGAAGGACCCAGAATAAGGGTTTGCTTCCATTAGACCCCTCTCCCACTCTTCTTGAGGTTGGGGAGAAACAGGTACAGGGGAAAGAGAGAGGTGCTCACCTCCCCTCGGGAGGAAGACGTGAGAGGTGAGACAAGAGGAGGATGTGATGCCAAGGCGAAAGGGCTCTTTCATGGCTTGCAAGATGAGTCCAGATGATGGATCCAGAGATGCCCAACCACACTGCCATCCCCGGGAGCAATGGGAGGTGCTCCAGCCATGGGGCTGCACAAATACAGGTTGTGTGATGAGTGTGCTTCACTGGAACTGCCGAAAAAACAAGCTCCAAGGACTACTGGAGTGCACCGAGGGGTGTGCCTAACGTTTCTGTATTTGACACCCCAGTGAGGGCCCCTGTGGACCCTCTCTGCCCTAAGGAGAGGGTCCATTTGGCCATTAACCCGCTGTGCCCCGACCCATCACGGGTGCCTGCCGCGCCCGAGGGCAGCACACACGCACTCACCCGCGCTCTTCACCGGTGCTCCACCACGAAGCGCATGGTGGTGCCGTCGAAGGAGGGCGGCGCGACGATCCGCGGCCCGCTGGCCGGCGCTGTGATGCTGATGACCGGCTTGGCCTCGGCTGCGCCGTGCCGCGGCGGCGGCGGGCCCTTGCTGGTAGCCACGTAGTAGGGGCTCTCGGCAAAAGCCGCCTCTGGCGCGGCGGGGCTGCCGGGCTCTGCCGGGGCGCTGCCGTCGCTGCCCGAGTGGGACAGCGGGCGCTGCAGGGCGCCGGCGGGCAGCACGGCGGCGGCGGGCAGGAGCCCGGGGTACAGCATGTACGTGGCGCCATAGGCGCCGGCATTGAGGGCAAGGGGCGACAGGGGCAGCGGGACGGGAGCCACGGCGGGCTGCTGGGGCACCGGCACCTCCACGTACTGCCCGGTCTCGGGGTCGAAGAGGCGCCGCTTGAGGGGCTGCTGCACAGGCGTGTCCACCAGGTAGTACTGCCCGGTGCTCACGTCCAGCAGCACCTTGCGCTGCGTCTGCGGGAAGGGCTCGGCCGCAGTGGCCGAGGCGGGCACGGAGGGCGAGAAGCAGAGCAGCGGCGGCGGCGCGGCGCCGGGCAGGGCGGCGAAGGGCAGCGGCGGGCGGTACAGGGCGGCGGCGGGCCGCGCTGCCGCTGCCGGGCCAGGCTCTCGAAGGCGGCCGCCTTGGCCGAGACCTTGTCGGCGGCGCTGTTGGAGGGGCGGCGGGGCAGCCGCTCTCCGCCCGGGCCCTTGCCCGACGGCTCCTCCGCCTTGTCCGGCGGCGGCGGCGGGGGCGGAGCGGCAGCGGCGGCGGGTCGGGAGCCGGCGCCCCGCTCCTGGCTGGCGATGAGGGACAGGACGTGGCTGTCGGTGATGGGCAGAGGGTCGCTCTTGCGCTTCCACTCGCGCTTGTTGAAGCTGTAGAGCTCCTCCATGCTCCGCACCGCCGCCGTCAGCTTCTCCAGCGCGTTCTGCACCGGCGCTGCCTTGCTCTCCTCCCTCGCCTCCTCCTCCGGTCCCCAGCCCCTCTCGGGGGGCGGCGGCGGCGGCGGCTGGTGTCGCCAGGGCGCGGAGGATTTGGAAACGATCTTGAGTACAGCCGGCTGGCGAGCATCGCTCTTGTTGGGGGCGATGGTGGCCACTGGCAGCCTGCCCGAGGTGCGGTGCACCAGCACGGTGCCCTCCGGGGGGCAGGCGGGCGCCCTGCCCGCCGCCTTGGCCCCCGCCTCGGTGGGCTTGGTGCCGGTGTGGCCGACCGCCTGGCAGGTGATGACCACGGGGGAGAGCGAGCGGGGGACACCGGCGATGACCAGCTGCTGCCGGGGCTTCTGCTCCGGGCCGCCTTGCTCGGAGGCGCCGCTGCCCTTGTCGCTGCTGTTATCTCCCGAGTCAGCGCTGTAGGAGCTTTTGATGAGCTTCCGCACGTCCCGCACCTGGTGGAGGATGCCCTGGGCTCTGTACTTGCTGTCCCTCACGTCGCGCACCAGGAACTGCGGCACTTTGTCGGGGCCGTCGCCGGCCTTGAGAGGCTTGAGCGGCTGCCCCCTGCCCTCCTCCGGCGGTCGGCCCGCGATCTGCGGCGTCAGCAGCTGGGCGATGCTGAAAGCGGCGTCCCGGGGCTGCTGCAGGCTGCCCAGGCTGATCTTGATCTCGGGGGCTTTGGGCTTGGGGGGCGAGGGGGCGGCGGCGGCCGAGGACACGGCGGCGGCCGCGGCGGAGCACTTGGTCGCCCTCTTGCCGGGATCCTTCTCCCGAGGAGTGTGCTGAATGGCGGGGACGAACAGGCGGGACATCTTGGTGGACTTGCCGGCAGAGATCTCGCCCAGGTCGGCTCGCCAGTCGTTCTTGGGAGAAAGTTTCAGCTTACCGACGGGCGCCCTCTCCTCCTTCCTTTCCGCCTCCCTCTCCTTCCAGGACCTGAAGGCGCTGTTCTGGCTGCGGAGGAAGGTGGCCTTGATGGCCTCCGAGGCGCTGCGCTTCACCTCGCACAGCTCCTCCGAGAGCGCCCGGTCCAGGCTGCGGTTCCCCTCGCGGGGCGTCGACGCCTTGGAGGCCGGGGAGCGGCCCCCGCCGCCCTCGCCCGCATCCTCGGCCGCCGCCGCGGCGCAGTCCGAGCCGCCCTCCGAGTGCCGGGAGTTCTGCCGCTGCACGCCACCCTCCCGAAGCCGCTCCCGGCCGCCGCTGCCGCCGCTGGGTTCGGGCTCCCGGCCCGCGCCCGGCCCGGTGTAGGAGGTGTCGGTGATCTCGCCCCGCTCCATCTTGAACTCGTGCTCCAGCTGCATTTTCTTGGAGATGACGTTTTTGAGGAGGCTGGAGGCGAACCTGGACTTCTTGCTGGACCCCTTCCCGCCGCCCTCCGCCGCCGGCGGCTCCCCGGCCTCGGCGGCATCGCCGAGGTCCAGCAGGGTCACCACCCGGGAGCCCGCCCGCAGCCGCCGCGGCGATTCCACGTGGGCGATCTCCCCGTCCAGCTTGCTGACCACGAACTCGAGGGCTTTGGTCTGCGAGCGGCCGGAGCGCAGCAGGCTGGGCTCGGCTCTCGGCCCCAGGCTGCCGCACTTGAGGTCCAGGTAGGTGGACCAGCGGTTGATGCCCAGGGCATTGTCGGACAGGGAGGCGGAGGAGGCACGGGAGCCGGGGCGCAGGGTGTCGAAATAGGGGTACGCCAGGCTGCGGAAAGCCCTGGCCGTAAGGTTTCGCACCTCTTTGTCGGCATCGTCCAGCTCGCTGACGGCGCTGGAGGCGCCGCTCGAGTGCTCCCCTGCCCTGGCGGCCCCGCAGCGCGTCTGCAGCCGCGCCGGCACCGCGATGAACTTTTTCGCGTGGTCGCGGACCGCATCCTGTTTTAAACTCGCACTGCGGTCGGGAGCCGCGGCGACACGGAGACTCATGTCGCCTTCATGCTTGGCAGCGTAAACAGTGTTTTGCTTTCCGTGCACGTTGCTAGACTCATTTATAGCCCGGGAAGCGGCTTTGATTGATAGGAGAAGCTGGGCGCCCGGGCTCCCGCCGGGGCGGCCGGGCTGCTTGGACCGGCTTTCCCCCGAGCTGGCGCGCTTGTCCCCGCCGGGGGTGTCGTGTTCGGAGGTAAGGCTGACGATCTCGGTGCTGCTGGTGTTGTCGATGCTGTCCGTCTGGTTGTTGGGGTCGCTGGTGGTCGTGCTAAGGTAGCAGCTATTCTCCTCCTCCTCCGTCAGCGTGTCTCCCGGGGTCTCGTCGCTCCCGAAGGAGGCGTAGTCAACGAAGGAGTAGATCACGTTGTTATCCTCGAAGTCCCAGCGGGCGGCCAGCCCCGCGTCGAAGTCCATGTCGTGGTCCACCTCGCTGAGCTGGATCTCCTGCGTGCTGATATAGTGCGCCTCGTCGCGGCCGCCGCCGGGAGGGGTGCCCGGGGGGGCGCCGGGGGGAGTCGCCTTGCGCCCCGCGACCTCATCCTCCACTTCGCTCTCGTAGCCGAAGGACGACGAGGAGGTTTTGCCCTCCGTCGACACCGGGTCGCCCATCGCGGGAAAGCCGTCCGCCTTGGTCGCGGGCGAAGGGCAGGAGGAGGAGGAGGACTCCGGGCAGCCCCCCGCCTCCGGCGTCCCGCCGCTCCGCGCCGCTTCCACGGAGCCGGGGCCGCTGTCAGCGCCGCATTCCGCCGCCGCCGGGGAAGGAGGGCGATCCCGCCCGTGCTCCAAGGATGCTGGCTCCGCTTTTTCCCCCGGGGGTCCGCCGCTCGCCGAGTCGCCATCCCCGGTCCCACCGGCTCCGCTGTCCGGTGCGGGACCGGGCGCTCCCTCCGCGCCGCCGGCCGGGGCCAGTTCGGGCTTCTGGCGGCTCTCCTGCGGCGAGCCGCGGATCTCCACGTACGCCGCCTCCCTCTCCTCCTGGATGGGCGCCTCCGGGCCGGGGTTGGGGCTCGGGTTTGTGCCGGGGTCCCGCTCGGCCGCCGCGCCCTCCGGGCCGGCTCGGGGGCTGGCGGGGCGCTGGCCGGGCGCGTCCATGCCGGGGCCGTCGGGGCGCGGCAGTGGCCCGCCGCCCGGCCCCCGGCCCGGGCGGGCATCGCCGCCGGGGGGCGGAGGGGTCGGGCCGGGCCCCGCTCCCCCCGCAGCCCCCGCGGCACAGGGCAGCCGGTCCGGCCACCGCGGGGGAGCTGGCCCGCACATCCCGGGACGGGCCCAGGTCCTGCGGGCTTTCCGAGATAGTCTTCACTGGGACGGCTCCAGGCGCGGACTATACATAGAGCCGGCGTCACTTAGGCCGCCTGAAATCCTATTTTAAACATCTGTGTTTGCCGGAATAAAGGCCCCCGGACACCCCTTGGAAGGGGAGAGCCTGCAAAGATGCTGCCACTGCCCAGCTCCCCGGGGAGCCGGCGGCAGCGGCTGCAGGAGGCGACTCCAGGGCTGAGAGCGCAGCACCGAGTGTCAGCAATGAGTGCGCCCTCCTTCTACACGCAGCAGCGGCCAAACAGCTATTTTCTTCCCTAAACTGTCCCCCTGCACCCCGTGTCCCCATTTGCAGGAGGTGTGGTTGCATAGGAACACCCTATGGATGGCAGCCTGCACCTTTACAGTAGTCCAGAGAGCCATCGGTCTCCAAGAAATCTTTCTCTTTCCAAGAAATGCCGGTTTAGACACAACCAGCACCTAAGACCTATTAATAGGCATTTCTGTGGCATGCCTGACCTTTGGTGGCTGAGAGCTTCACTGAGCGGTCCCCAAGATGACAAACCAAAAATCAGTCCAGCACCGTGGAAGTTTTCAAAAGGCAAGCTGTTAAACACTGAGGAGGAGAAACAAAAGAAAGAGAACAATGTTGAGGAGCAGCCCTCAGGTACACAATGCAGATAACATCCTAAATTCCCAGCTTAAAAAGCAACATCCCAAATTTACAGTACTTGAGCACTAAGGTGAGCAAGCTGGCATTGGGCTGGTAACACTGAACTGAGGTGCAGGAGAGTTGTGGGAGTCCCTGAAGTGATCACCAGGATCCAGGACCTTACAGCTGCATGCACTGGCATGGTGTGCAGCCCTGCCAGGGATGCCACAGGAGCAGAGGAGCCAAGATGCAAAGCTGAGCCATCCCTGAAGTCTTCCCAGCATTGTCCATATCAAAACAAGGGTTTCCCAGTGCTCCCAGCTCCTCATCCCACCCTGTAGCCAGGTGGCTCTGCTGCCATCCTCCCACTCTTCCTGCTGCCTCCAGGAAAAATGACCTGCCTTTTTCACTGAACCCAAGTGAAGTCTTGTGAGGCTCCCTGCAGCAAGGGCAGGTTTAAAGCCTGTTTCAGATAAGGGTCTCTGCTGCCTGGAGGAAAACAAGTGAGGTGGCTCCAGCTTTTAGTTCTCTACATAGATACATGGCTGTTTCTTAGGCTGTAGATTGACAGGATGGAAAATATTACTGAAGCAGCATGTGATATTCTAACAGAAAGACACATCCTCCAAACCTGGAGGGTTGGAGTAAGCCAGGTCACGAGCAGTGAGGCTCTCCCCAGGCAGCAGGGATAACTGATTTCCATCCTTACTGAGTCTGTCCTGCCTCCAGTGTGCTGTTAATGAGAAGATGGGCACCAGGTTTCATGGGTACTAGGCTTCCTCAGCCTCAGTCTTAGCCCTGGTATATGTAGCTTCAACTCCCCTGGTGCACGCAGCGACTGCAGTTCTCCACAGAGCTGTGGTAAGAGGCATCCTCATCCCCAAACAGCTTCACTGGGTTTTGTGTCCCATCCACACATTTTACAGCTTGCCCCTCTGTCTCATGCAGCACAATAAAATCATGACATAACCAGAGAAAGACAATATTTTAGCACATTAGTAAGACACATCTTAGTTATAATTGATGATGGGCTAAGAGTAGATCCTCAAATACAGTCCTTTCCAAATGCCTGGGATGCCAATGAATGCATTTTAAACCCTGATCATTCATTGTACTTGGGTGACTGCTGGCAGCTGTAGCAGCCTGGCCTGCTCTGCCTTCTGCCAGATGCCTCCTCTCAAGCAAGGTCTCCACCCCAAGTTCTCAGTGCTCCACACTCTGATCTCCCTAACCAGGGTCTCAGGTTACCAGGGTCTCACACTTCACTCTCCCCTCTACTGTTTGGTTTTTCTGCATTAAGAATACACAATTAATCAGATCTTTGCTCCCCAAATCTGCACAATTGAAAGTGGAGTTGTTTTTTTGAGTAACAGTTGTTCGTGTATTCCTGCCAAGATCCCCAGACAACATCCCCACCACAATGAGCATTGAAACTTGACTCTATTTATCTATTTTCACAGTCCAGTTCCTAGCTATGGTCCTGAGATGTTTTTTTTCTGCCCTTTTCCTTTGGTGGTATCTTGAACTTAATCTACTCAATCTTACAAACCCGGGCAATGACTTTCCCAGCTAAGGCAGAAACCACAATGGAGCACTCCTACATGTATGTTTGTAACATACTTATGTCTCCAGCACAGGGAATTCATGCCCTGGTGACAAAAATACATACATAAAATCCACACCTGTTCCTCTCCCCTTTCAGTCAGGGCTGGTCCTGGAGGCCTGCATGCCTTAGGCTGTCAGATCAGGGTATTTCCCATGGCACTAGGACATTGCCACAGGGTACACACACAAATCCTAATGCCATTTGTAAAAAGTGAGACTCTGACACCCAGCTTAAGTGCCCTAATCACTGTATGGTGTTAGGAGAGTGGGGGAAAATGAGAAGGATTTCCTTCTCTCTTTTTTGTATCACAGATTTCTGCTCTGATGTGGTGCCAGCTCCTCAGAGATGCTTTGCTGCGAGTCTGGCCTCGAGCAAAGCGTAAAATTCCATGGGGTTTAGGCTTAATGCCTTCTCCCCAGCCTTTCCTCTTAGCTACCATAGTGTCAGCTTTTGTAAAGCCTGTTTTGGAGGTGTCTAATAGCCTCCATGCATCGCATCCAAAGCTTGGGTGCACAGCTTGGAGCCGGTGCTGGCTCCCCAGGACTGCTCCCCTGTGGCACAGCCACACAAGGGATCAGAGTGCTTCAACAGCTTTGCAAAGGGGTAGATGATTTGGGGTTTATGGTTTTTTCTGTATCTATTACAGTTGCCAGAAAAACTCTACAGCAAGCAAAGTGTTAGACCTGTTTGGTCACAGGAAAACTGCAGCTCCATCACGTCTTCTGTCAAATAGCAATTTCTTGCTCTGTGCTGGCATGACATCTCCACTGATTAATAATCAGATCAGTGTGATTTGGTTAATAATGTGGTATATAAGTAACTAACATGTCATCCTTATGATTCTAGCAATACTCAGGTGAGGCATGCATTAGCATCAATTACTCTCTTGTGGTTTCCACCTTTAAATCTCTCTTGCTCACTAAAGGTACCAAAGTCTAAGATTTCTGCATCCAGATCTGTCATCAAGTGTTACTGGACCTGTCCTGACAATCACAGAAAACCTGTGTGTTTAATGCCCTTTGTAACAGGCATAAAAGTAGGTACTCCACTTTTAAACTCTTTCTGGTAAAAATAACAACATGCATTCTTTAACCACATTCTGTCCTTTGCTCATAGAGGTTAGGTCAGACAGGTAAAGTTGGTGGGGAAAATGTAGATAGGCTGAATTAGCTCTGCACCTTAAAATACATTGCTCATGGAAGTAGCAAGGAAGTGGGTTTAAAAGGGAATTGAGATGAGGCACTTAAAAGCAGAATCAAGAGATGAAGCATGAATTAGCATTGTAACTAAAAAGTTACATAGGAGACCATGCAGAAGAAGGCATAGGGTTTTTTTCCCCTTTAACCAAGACAGGGAAGTGAACAACTGGTGGGGGAGTATTTAGTTGAGCTTTCTCTGACTAGGGAAAAGTAAAATATTAATCTGTTAATTTAACCTTAGGAAATATTAATACCACTTTACATATTTTAGTTATTAAAGTGTTAAGTCATCACAAAGGAGTTATAAAAATCAGATTCATACAGAATAAAAATCAAAATATTATTTTCATGGAGAAGACAAACACTGTTCCAGTAACTAAGATGGTCTGCAGGAGAGGTTATGGTTCTTGCATGGAAAATGATGTCTTTCACAAAAAAAAATAAGGAAACATTACATGGATTCTGTTCAATTCTGTGCACACAGCAAAAGACACTCACTACCTGTTCAGAGAGAGATGAAGAATGATAGAGTCATAGGGAGAAGCTTTCATTTTTGGCTGACTATTCTCTTGAGTAGTATTTGCATACTGCTGGATTAAATTTTTTTCTCGGTCGTTTTCTGCTAACACTGCACATTATCAAAGTGAGGTTTGTGGTAATCTTTGAAATCAAAGCAAAAAAAACCCAAACATTACTGGACTTTAGATGTATTTCTGTCTGTGTGTGTGTTAAGGAGAAGGGAAAACTGAAAACAGCACCCCGATTTTCTCTCGTGACTAGTACCCAAGAAGGAGGGAGCAAACTCCACTTTGGAATGGAAGAGGTGGATTTGTGGCTTAGTAATAAACAGTGAAGCCCAGCACACATTAGACATCTCCAAGTGCTACCAGATATACTGAGAGGAAATACAATACCCACACATGTGTGTTGGTATGGAAGATTTCTAGCAAAACCAAGTGGAAATAAAATGAGATTTTTGTAGCTTGCACTAAAATGCTGTTATGGCATTTAACAAGGGTCTGACTGAAAAAGTACTAAGGAAAAAACTAAGAGAAAACCAACACCTGGATGGCTCAATCCTTTCTCTCACAGAGACCATGCTTGTCAAGGGGATCTTTCTTTCTTTCCTTTTCCATCCGAGCCTGTTGAAGAGATTGAGGGGCTCTTCTTAGCACTCAACCTGCAAATGGAAACCAAATGTGCACTCCTTCCTGGCAGACCTCTCCCTCTGTGAGTGTCAGACCTTTCCAAAGAAACCCCAGAGCTGGGTGGATTTCAAGACCCTCACCTGAGTGCTTGAGCTTGCTTGATTCCAGGACCTTGGCGTGGCTCTCCGAATCGGAGGCCGCTTTTCCTCCTAGGAGGAGACAGGACCGAGTTCTGGCCACTGCCTTGGGCTGTGCAGTGCATTCCCTGCCAGCAGCAGGGGCTGAAGGGCTGCTGGAACCACAACCCCCTCCCTGCCGCAGCTCCCTCTGGCCTTGCTACCAGCAGCTCCTGCTGGGTGCCTTGCATGTTTTTAAAACAGATCCTCCCCCTT